CTGTCATGACCCAAACCCACCCCTATAGGTTTAGTGTCTTAACCGACCAGTAATCCGAGATTACCAAAGGCCTTCCTGTACAACCAAAAATAATCGGGGCTTGTGGAAGTAATAGACGAAAACACCAATAGTCCAACCAGCTGTGCATCTATATGACTAAATATTTACATGCAAAAATGTTAATTTACCCACTTACATTACATAACGTATAACATAATATCTTATACAAAACATATGCACGGGTCAAAAGTGTATGTCATAATCAAAAGCTTGACTACGGTCTTCCAGGCCTAGCCCCAACTCGGAGGCACTCAAAACGGCTTAGTAGGCTTCAGAACAGTGGCTCGGTTAAAGACCCTTCTAGGCTTGTCCTCAAGAATGCTCAGCTATACATATAGATAAAAACAGTGAGCTAAAGCCAAGTGAACAACATTAAAGTAAAGGGGTTAGTGAACGAATTCCAAATATATCATATCCGTAAAACAAATCATGACACAATCATTCATATCAGTCTCATATCAGAACATAACAAAATGGTACATCTCACAAAACATATCACATATCGTCTTCCGACTAAAGTAATCGGTTCCGGATACTGATTAAACACATATCACTACAATGAAGTGGCTAACGAGATCTCGTATCACATATGTGTCATGGACCCGCATTTACATGCCATCCCCCATGACTTGGGACTATCTGTGGATGCCATAATAGATTCGCAAATAAGACATTCGTTCACATAATTAAAATAGCATTTCAGAAATTATAACTTATCGCGCAACAGTTGAAACATAGTTCATATCAATATATCTTTACAGAAATATTACTCACAGTGGGCTTCTAGAACGATTGGTCAAGCAATCCTTGACTTGTGACCTACAATCACAAATATGCATTGCACGATACAAAATCATCTTAAACATATTTAGTTCGCTTAAGCTTTTAAATATGGATGACTAGAATTAAGAATTAATTATATTATTAATTTTCTTTAACCTCTAATTAAAACATGTTTAACCATATATTAACCAAACTGATTAAATATAAATAATCTAATCATATGCCAACCCTTATTAAGTTCACTAATGACACAATCAAACTTAAATTAGGCTCAAACACATTAAATTACAATTATTTAGTCATGTTTATTTACTGAATTAGAAACTCATAAATATGTACATTTTGAAATTTAACTCCAAATCAAAGCCCAAAACTCTTAAAAACATGTTAATTAAGACCTTGTTGAAATTCAATATTTAACTTGAAAAAAAGATCAAACCTTCAATGTAAACTCAATTTCCACTTAAAATATCAAAATCTAGAATTTAAGTGTAAAATCATAAAACCTGCAAGTTTGAGTTCCAAATTCATCTTCCATGGAACATTCATTTGAATTCCTTTAACCCATGCAAGGAAACATAAAAGCATGGACATGAATTTCCAACATGAAACACAATTAAAACTTTAAAACAAAGCTCAAATGTTCAATTGAAAGATCAAAATTTTAATTAATTTGCAACATTACAAAACATGCCTATTTTGAGATCTAAATTAAAAAATTTAGGGAGTTTCCTCCTCCAATGTGAAGAACTATGCAAGAAATCAAATGTATGAACAAGAGTTTCATGAAATCAAGTCATGCATGTCAAAACCTTGAGCTAAATTCTTCAAATCTAATCATGCATGTCATGTTCTTGCACTAATTCTTACAATTCCTTCTCTGTTATGTTCATATGAATTCTTAACATCATAACTTCCCAATTATACATGATTTCTCCTTATTTCAACTTAGGTTCTACAATCTCATGAGTATAACACTTTAATTTCATAAAATTAGAGGAGAATTCCTACCTTTAATGGTTGAATTGGTGCAATTTTAACTTGATATCCCCTGATATTCTTCTTCCCCCCTCCCCTCTCCCTTTTTTTTTTTTTTTTTTTTTTGCATTTTTGGCTCTTTTTTTTTTTTTTATCTTCTTGAGCTCTCTGGAGCTTTATCTCCTCTCTCAAGTGTACATCTCCAACATAATGCACTTACTCTCTCTCTTGGTTTCTCTTTTCTTGACTATATTGATGAATAAGCTTATATTTAGCCACTAATCTACTAGTATACTTAAGTTAGATTAGATTTAGGTTAATTCGTCATATTGAATTAAATTATACCAATCACATACTTAATTAAATCAAATTCCCTTAAATTAAATTAATCTTCGCCATTTATAATCTTAATGACACTAAATTAAATTATACTAATGTGTATTAAGCTCCAATTCCTATTCAATTATTTAATTTCAACCTATTAAAATTAGCGAATCAGACAGAGTCAACTTTTTAATTAAATTTCCAGGTAAATGTAAAAATTCCAATTAATATATCCTTATACTCAATTTTGATTTATGAACCCCTTTATGTTGTCAATTTCAGTTTCACAGACGATCTCACAACGGATAGTTTCTCAATTTAAACAGATATTTACAACGAATCAAATTAGATAATTCACAATTAATCACTTGGCACATGTCATAATTAAAATTCAATACATAATTAATCACTTATAATTACGATTAACATTTTGGGGTCGTCACAGTGTCGGGGAATAAAGATGCGACCATCGATAGCACACCGTTCCCTGGCCTTGTATTTGTCACATTCTTCATTGATGATTCTCCTCAAAGCCAAAGATGGGCTTACACGCTCGACAACTGGTATTTTAGAAGAAGAAGCCATTAGCAAGGAATTGAAAGAAGAAAGTGAACAAAAGGGCAAAGAGTTGCAGATAAGAGCAACATGAGTGAAATAGAGACTTTGGATAAGCGTGTAGATAAAGCGCAAGAAGAGGGGGCTTTAAAACCCTTCTGTCCAAAGTTACCTATTTAATATAACGGGTTAAATGGACCTAGGTTCTAACCCATGTGTGATCAAGGCTTTTATTTTAAATTCCTGAGAACACAAGAAAGAAGACTACATCCGAGCCAGAATGTGTTATGAAAGAGGGAAACACATTTCAAATACCCAGCTTAGCTTCGAAAGGTGTTAGATGGCTTCGAAGCCAGTTTTGAAATACTTAGCTTAACTTTGAAAACAAGTAGTTGGCTTTGAAAGGTGTTAGTTGGCTTCGATGCCAGTTTTCAAATACTTAACTTGACTTTGAGAACAAGTAGTTGGCTTCGAAGCCAGTCTTATACCTTGAGTTCAAGCATAGTTAAGATTTGCTCACTTCAAGAATCATGGAGGTATGCTTTTAGACTTTCCAACAAAGGAAGTTTCCTTCGAAAGGATCTTTGTAATGACCAATAGTTAGAATATGGTTCTTGCCTATTTTTACAGCATAAATAAGCACTATGAAACTAATTTTTGGTTAAGCATTATAGAAAGTCCAAAGGCCAAAGGAATAATCTTACGCTTTTGCTTATATAAGATCCTTCGAAGGCAAATAGGGCCGTTCTTAAGAGAAATTTCATGCTTTGAAATACCTGAGTCAGGCCTCAAAGCAAGATTGGTGCTGTTATTCACACAGATTATATTAACCCTATGATTGGAATGTAAAAACCTAAGATAAATACCATTACTCCTATGAGGAATTTCATGATTCGAAGCATTTGAAACCAGGCATCAAAGCAAGTTGGTTGCTTCGAAGCTGTTGTTCACAGATTACATAAACAGAGTAAGGCATAAAGCCATATTTGCCATGCAATCGATCATACAATTGGAATATAAAGCTAGATCATGACAAATGATGTTTGAAGAGCTCAGTTTTATTGATGTGCAATATTTACATTGAGAACACCTACTTGGTTACATTCTCAATTTCATAAAAGTAAGGAATGGACAAAGTCACAAGATCATGGAACTTTTTCTAGCAAAATTCAATAAATACATGCTCTTTTCCTAATCTATCTTCTATCCTATCTAAATTTGGTTTATCTAACTGATGAGCCCTTAGTTGGAAAAAGAGATGTTGGGCCTTCAATTCAAATTTTGTCTGTTTAAGAGTCTTATCTGTTTCCTTTATTTCTCATGCCCCATGTATTTCATCCATAGGGGTATCTCCTCTAAACTCTAAGTCTTGGTTCTTGAAGTTCTTATATTCTTCAAGGGGATTCTCTGCCTCATACTGAATTTGAATACGAGCAGTGGAGGTTTCCTCCAGCAACTCACTGGTAATGGGGCATTTGTGTGCCAGTTGAGTAAAAGAGGAAGTTGATCCAAGAAAGTGTAAAGCTCTGCTTAGGCTATAGGTTAAGGATGTGGCTTCGAGAGATAATATCACGAGACCATAATAAGTTCTTGTGAGGAATATCATCTCGAAGGACCTCAAAGGATAAATGAGAGACAGCTACACGTAGAGTCTGGGCTCTATACTGTTGGTAAGTAGTAGGAAGGACTGGGGCTTGGTAGAGAGCAAAATGTTGGCTCTCGAAGAGGGTGAGTTTCAGTTCTTCAATCCAGTTAGGATTGGAAGACAATGAAGGAGCAGTTGGGTCCTCTCCAAAGGAAGGTGGGAATTCAGGCTTGTTTACACATTCTAGCCAGTCAGAGGAGCAAAGTTTTCCTTTTCTTGGCTAAGAGTAAGGGACTGAGTCCCAAGGATTCAACAGGGTATGGAGTATTTTGCACTACTCTGGATGGCAAGGTGGAAATATACCATGCTGAAAGCAAGTTATCTTCAAGGCTGTGAAGGCGGTCGAGAGGGATGTATGGATATACTACAAAGTTGCGCATGGAGGGATGGATTGCAATGGGGTCATCAAATTCAGGGAATCGATGGTGGATTTGCTCCCTTGTTTGAGGTTGAGTGGGTGTAGGCCAAGTTCCCCAGCCGATGCTCTTAGAAATGTTATTAGAGGAAGAGAAGGCAGCTTCATCCCATGCAGAAAGTTTAGAGGCAGAGGAAGAGCTTCCAAGATCCATTTTTGCAAGTTCTTGGTCCAAAGGTTGATAGTTTGCGATAGCATCCATAACTTGAATAAATGGAGGCGGATAAGCATAGCTAATAAATGCATGAAGGTTCTTTCGAGAATGAACATCATTGTCTAATACCTCTTCGTATGTACGATCGATGAAAAAAAAGGTTTGTTTGGCCATGGGAACTGTATCAGCCTTTTTGAATACTCAGATAGTGGAAAATGTTCAAGCACATGAAAGAATTTAATATAGATTAAGTGCTTCATTTATGGAAGACGGTTTCATTTCTAAGAATATGTAAAGTCCATGCACGTCCTAGGACGTGGATAAAGTGCATTGAGTCCACTAATATCACCAAGTATTGGGTATATTAGTGCGGGGGGTAATGTTGGCTACATATGTTGTAAAAGCTAATTGCAGCTTGACACGTGGTATATGAGGAGCAATTCGGAGAGTTAATACAAGTCTCCAATTAAAGACAGACACATGGCAGGTCATATTGTTTATAATAGATCTACGCAACACTGTGAAAGCTAGAAGGCACAAGATGACGTGGCCCAACGGTTACTCACGAATTCAAATTCAAAATCCATGAGAGAAGCCTAACTGGAAGAATGGCGCAGTGGGACTGACTGTGACAGAACATGATCAGCAATCATGGGAGGACATTTCGATGGTTGGAAGCCCACTTTGATGGTTACCTTTAGAGAGTATAAATAGCAGGGAATGCCCCAAATTGACTGACCCAGACTTAGAACCAGAGACCAATCATTTACTTCATATTTTCTTTACAGTTTTACATTTTCAGTTCTTCAATTCCTGTACCGCACTTCATTTCCTAGGAATAGTTTCAAGTAGTCGTTGCTGTAAACCTTTTCATGGCTGGGCCATTTTATTGTAAGTTCTTATTTTCTTAATGAAATTCAGTTTTTAAATTATGCTTTGTACTTGTTATTATTTGTAAGTTTCTCCTAAATAAGCTACTAGTAAAAGTCCTCTTCATTGAGACTGAAAAAACTTCAACACAATCGTCTGATAATTGGTTGACAATTAAAATTCTGTAAGGATTGATTAATCCTTGCTGGCACACTTAAAATTACACAATTAACCTTTAAAAGCCAACAGAATCATTGAAGTACCCTTCCTTATGTTGTCTGTACGGGAAAGAAATAAACATTCTCGTATAATCCTGTTGATCAAGTCTGCGTTCCTCCAAACGTCGTCGTTTTACTCCCTGAAAACGCAAACGTGAGCTAACCAGCGGGTGTGTGCCGGAAACCCCTCCGATGCCTAAGTCAGCAACTAGACAATAGACAATATGCTCTGTGTATTCCAGAGTAAGAATTGGGATACCTATACATAGGTCTGATCATGAGCTTTTATAGACTTTACTTTGGCACAATCCTAGTAGGATTCCAATTCTCCTTATGAGAGTCCTCCTAGGAATCACACACCCTACTCACTACCAACCAAGTGAGATGGTTTTGCACAATCCTAGTAGGACTATACTCTCCTTAGCAGAGCCCTCCTAGGAGTCATACTCCTACTCACTGCCAACCAAGTGAGATGGTTTACACAATCCCAGTAGGACTCTAACTCTCCTAAGCAGAGTCCTACTAGGAGTCTCATCACTGCAAGCCAAGTGAGATGGCTAAACCTTTTATCTCGGTTATACATTCCTGCCTGAACTGATTTATCTTGGTCCCCTGCCCTTCGAACCGTGTGATCGAAAGCCGATCTAACGGATGCCACCCTGCCGAGCTATACATAGCTCGACCCTCGCCATTGATGCTACCTCCTTTTAATAAGCTGCTGCAACCACACCGAGCTAAGTTATCTCGGCCACACGCTTAAGTAATGATGTAGATGGCGCCCGGCCGAGTTATACCAAGATCGGCCGAGCTATACCAAGCCGACATCCTTTCTCACCATACCTCGACTAACCACCAGGCCCACTTATTTCGGCTGACATCTTTATCTCGGCTAACATTGCGGTCAGCCAAGTTACTTCGGCTCTGTGATACCTTAAGCACTACTACCAGTCTTGACTTCGAGATGATGCCCTGCAGAGCTATCGTTTAGCTCGGTCCTCTTTCTACCGATACCTCGGTCTATCGTTCGGCCCAAACCCAAAATATGAGATGTCTTCTTGGCCTAAGATCGAGCTACACCAGCCCTTATCTCGGCACATTACGCGGTCCAACTCCCAAAGAAGACTCTTCCTAGCTCGGCCCAATTTGTTTACAAATTACCCTCTCATTGTCTATCAATTGAAAATCACGACATGTGTTTCTACTTTTGATTAGATTGAATATTTTTTTGAGAAAATTGGTAAAAAAATTTATTTTATCAATTATCTAAAGCATTAAGTCCAATGATTTTTTTTATTGATAAAAAAATTATATTTTATGAAATAATTTGGTGAAAAATTTTAAAAGACATTTTGTTTTCGATCTTAGCTGATTCCGAAGTACTCCACGAATTTCCCTTGCTCAAAGTATTCAAAGACGGCCGGGTCGAGAAAATCAGCTGGCCGCCCGTCGAAATCCCTCCCTCCGACGACCCCACTGCCGGCGTCAGATCTAAAAACGTCCTCATATCTAGGGGTGTGCATAATACCGCCGAAACCGCCGAAACTGCCAAAACCGCACCGAACCGCTCCGCCAAGGCAAATTCGTTATTATTTGCCAATCGAACCGCCGGTTTTTTATAAGAAAAATGGCAAATTCTAGTGACACTTTTATCAATCCGCCGGTTTCTATTTTTTTTCCAAACCGCACCGACCCGCACCGCTATTAAATCATGTTTTATAAGATTCTAAAAATTCTTTTTTACTTAAGTTTGCTTGTTGTTCTATACCTTATAATATAGTATTACATTATTGCTCGAGGGGAATTCAAGGCGTCAATAATCCAAAATAAAGTTGGATTCCAATTCACTTTTCAATCTTTTTTTTTTCTGGCCATGTTGCAAACTTGCATCAGCTCACTTTTCAATTTAAATACTTTTCAACAGTAAACATTTTCAATATATTGTAAACCCCGAATGATATTAATTTTATGTATTGTATTTGATCATTGTAACTTCCACAGATGCTTGTAATGAATTGATGGCATAGTCGTTGATATTATCATGTTGTTGCTACACTTGCTGCATCAGAAGAAAGTTTCGTCTTTTTTTTACTCATTGATTTAAGTTTTGAAATTTGAATTATATTTTTTATAAACCGCCAATCCGCCCAAACCGCCAAGGCAAATTCGCCATTATTTGCCAATCGAACCGCCGGTTTTTGATAAGGAAAATGGCAAATTCTAGTGACATTTTTATCAATCCGCCACCCGCCATACGGTTTCTATTTTTCTCTCAAACCGCACCGACCCGCACCGCGCACACCCCTACTCATATCCAACGAGCCCGAAATCTCGGTCCGAATATTCTTTCCCAAATTACCCGACCCGACCCAGAAGTTTTCCCTTATCGTCTACATGCACGGTGGCAGATTCTCCATGGTGTTAGCCTTCACCCCCCACTATGACCGCCATGCCTGCCGCCTCGCTGCCGAATCCACCTCCATTGTCGTTTCGGTTGAGTACCGTCTCGCTCCAGAACACCCAATACCGGCTTCCTACGACGACTCTTGGGCTGTTCTCCGGTGGGTCGCACCCCACAGTACCAGAGATGGAGCCGAGCCTTGGTTGAACGATCACGCCGATTTCGACCGTGTATTCGTCGGCGGAGATAGCGCCGGAGGAAACATGGCTCACACGTTGGCTTACCAGGTCGGAACAATCAGGTTACCCGGAGTGAAACTCGTCGGGGCGTTTTTGACCCACCCGTATTTTGGGGGAGTGGAAGCAGATGATAAGATGTGGATGTACATGTGTCCGACTAACAGTGGGTTTGATGATCCAAGGATGAAGCTGCCCGTAGAGGATCTGGTAGTGATTGGGTGCAAGAGGGTGTTGATGTTCGTGGCTGGTAATGATCATCTGAGAGAGCCAGGTAGGGCCTACTACGAGTGGCTGAACAAGAGTGGGTGGAAAGGGAGCGTAGAGATTGTGGAGAATGAAGGGCAAGAACATTGCTTCCATCTGCATGACCCCACCAATGAGAATGTTGTGGCACTGGTTAAAAAGATTGTTGATTTCATCAACCAATATTTACTATTTCTATTTGTGATGAAATGGGGGGTTTTTTTTTTCTCGAGGGTGTATGGAATGGCTGGTCGAGAAATAATAATATTGTTTATACACTTCATGGAATAATGTTGTTATGTGTCCTCTGTATGCATGTAGTTATGTCCAATAATAATATAAATTTTAAAATTTATATTTAGGAATCACAAGTATTTTAGATGAATTTCAAAGTATATTAATTTTAAATTTATGTGGGAGTCAGAAAAAAAAATATATTAGCCTTTTAGGATTAACCCAAACAATGCCTATAATGGGTCCAACCCAAACAAATATTACACCCCCCGACCTATATAAAGGGGGTTATCCCAAGTTGAGGTATGTTCTCTCTCTCTCTCTACACTACACACCAAGCACTCTACACTTTCTAGATTTCATTCTGCTTAACAGGTGACTGACTTCACCATCGAAGTGCCTCCGGCCGGCAATCCCGGTTGGGTGGCGCCGATCATGCTCATCTTTGTAGGTATACCAGGACCAAGTTCATCTCTTCGTTAGATCTCTACAATCCATGTGAGAGGATATTTCATGGTCTCACAATTAGCGTCGTCTGTGGGAAACATCTGCAAGAGTTCAACGAAGAGAGGAGCATACATGTTCTCGTAAGTAAAAATTTAACTACACTTTTGATCTTGCTCTCTGAAAATTATTGTAGGATTGGTTCTTGGATTGGATATACATATGTTTGTGCGTACAAAATAGAGCTTTTTTCTCACTGTGAAACTCCATTAAAAAGGTTTAAAGCATTATAGAATTGATGGTTTACTTTTTCATTTTCATTGTCTCTCTCTAAGATTGGGTTTCACACTTTTGCTTATGGGAGCTTCTTTTCGACATTATACACAGAGTTTCTCAGCCGAACCCACTTCTAGCATTATTTATTTATTCCCTCACATGAGTTTGTTGATTCTTGAAGATATACATGTTATGTGCTCACAATTAACAGGAATTAAGGAATTATGTTTTGTGGCTCCACAACTAAAAAAACAAATCGCTCATGTCTTTCATTCGCAATAATTTAAGCTTTATATATTTCTATGATGTCTCGGCAATCATACCAGTTGTTAGCATGATTAGAAAATTACCGACGCCATGCCGAGAATCACCCCAATTCTTCGCGTCATCGGCAAGACAAAAAGAAGTTGCCGATGGGCACATCAAAATCCAAAACGAGTTACCGACAAACGTTTGTATTATTTCCAGGGAATTAATCTTTATTAGCTAAACTTCCTGTGGGGCACTCCGGTGGATACAACCAATTCAGCAGCCATATATATATACATCTCTATGCAGATATATTTAGAATGGCTTACAATATTTTCCCAAGCTTTTCATTCTATTTCTCTAATATAATTTCATGATCATTAACAATTTTGCATGAATAGTTTCCTCGGCAATGAAGTTCTATTTATGTTCCACTTACCTTCCATCCGTCTCGGCAACAAAAAGCTTGCTCGACAACATATAACATGTCTTCACCTCACCGTGATATGAAAATGCATGGTCTAATGGAACTCGGCCAACTGAAAATAATTACACTACAATTCCACTGCCGAGAAAATATTTCACACTTAGCATGGCCACCTACCAACTCAAACTCGCCAACTAGTTCTGATCGGCGCCGAGACTACATAACATGAGTGCCTATTTCAACTACACGGTGGCTAAACTCGGCATCACCACTGAGCTCCCTGTTGCTCATCCATCTCCCTCGGCAGTAACAGAAGCATTAAATTTTCCTTTGGTAGTTGTTCGGCATAGCATTTTGCATATCAACTCAGCTTCGGCAACATTATTCGGCTTCATCAACCTTATTTAGCAATGCATCAACTTTACTCGGCAAGATTATTCGGCACCATTATTCAACATTATGCATGAACATTATACGGCAATGCATCAACTTTACTCGACATGATTATTCAGCACCATTATTGAACATTATGCATGAACATTATTCAGCAATGCTTCAACTTTACTTGGCAAGATTATTCGGCACCATTATTCAACATTATGCATGAACATTATTCGGCAATACATCAACTTTATTCGGCAACATTATTCTGCAACATTGCTTACTTAGCAAGGCTACTCGGTCACATATTAATTCATCTACCTCTTCAGATTTGTATCAGCTCAGAGTCCAAATACACCAACCAGGAGTCATAATTTAACCAAAGTTCGCTGACAATTACGAAATGGACCAAAACTTCGAGCACACTGACATTTTTTACGTTATCGAAATCAACTTTTGACCATACCAGTGTGAAGTACTCATAGAGACAAGTCCAACACAACAAACCGCATCAAAATCGAAACACAAACGAAGCCGTACGAGCTCCTCCAAGTTTGCCGAGCAACGTCGTTATTCCATCAGCAAAGACGACTGGATTTGAAGCTGTCCAAATTAAGAAATTATTGTGTGCATTGCGGCTAGCTCATGTCATAGCCAAATAATCAAGTTCAAATATACATTGTATAAAATATATACACACGGTTCTAAGGCGGCAAAGTGGTTAAGTGTTAAATTTTCCTCACAAAGGCATGAGTTCAAATCTTCTAGGCAACAACTTTGCTTATATTTTTTTCCAAGCCACCAAGCTGAGCCGTCCGATGCAACATCTTTTAGAGAAATCATCCAGTACATCACAGGGACTAATTCTCCACTGATCTGAGCCGTCGGATCTATTTTGACTACAATTACGCCGTTCGGAGTCCGATTCCGACGACCCTATAGTCGTTTCCAACTATTTAGAGTATTCTGAACACATCCGTAAGGTCTGATTTTGTACATTTCATACCAATAATTTGTATATTTTATATGCAGTACCACATGTCGCAACTCCAACAACACTTTTGCCATCCAGCCTGGCATTTAATCAATGCCAAATTCAATAATTTTGGCGTCTTCCCGCCACTATAGCAACCCATATCATTCGGCAATTTTGGCTCAAGTCTATTCTGAATTCCTTCCGAATCACCCCTATCCTTCGAAAGCAATGGGGCAATACGACAATGGAAGCAATTTTACAACTAATTCCATGATAGTTCAATGTGGTGATGGTACAATTTAGTCGGCTTAACGCCCCTTTAACGCTCCTCACCGAACTCACTGAACAACTCTTACACTCACTCGGCGTTTTCAACTTGGCAACTTGGCTATTCAATCTCCGTTCAGCCGCATCAAAACCTACTGTGCAAAACCTATGCGTCATTCGGGTGTTCTTCGCATGTTTTGCGTGCCGTCATTTTTATAGCTTTTACAGCTTTCTACTTTTTTGTGGCAGATATATCTACATTATTTGCGTGCAGTTCTTCGTATATTTACTTTTACAACAATGCACTATGCCCTCGCCCGGGGGTTATAATATTGCGGCCTATGCCCTCGCCCGGGGGTTATAATATCACGGCCTACACCCATGCCTGTGAGTTAGAATACCGCGGCCTACACCCTCACCCGGGGGTTATAATACCTCAGGTTTATACCCATTACTCGGGGGTGATAATATCACAGGTCTATACCCCTCACCCGGGGGTTATAATACCGGAGGTCTACACCCTCACCTGGGGGTAATAATACCGTGGTTCATTTTTTGGCTGATATATCTACCTTATTTAATTTGTCTTATTTGGTTCAAGCAATCATTTTCATGCTCAGCAAATAAAAATATTTCTAGCTCGGCACGAAAGTCTATATTTGGCAGCAATCTTTGAACTCGGCAACATAGTACACCCTTGCCCGGGGTTACAATACAGAGGCAAACACCCTTGCCTGAGGGTTATAATACCACGACCCACCATTATAGAGATAGTATTACTAATTAGGCTTTAGCTCACCTCTCTCCTTTATATACATATATTTGTACATACATTTTTGCAAACATTCATTCATCCAGTCATTCATTCATTTATGTTATTCATTTATCAAATGTATTCTTTGTCAAAGGACTTAACATCTATTTGAATAGCATAACTCGGCAATAAAAACTCTCATTCCTTCTACCGAAGACAATAAAAGTTTTGGGGAAATTGTGGGAGCCAGAAAAAAAAATATTAGCCTATTAGGATTTACCCAAACAAGGTGTAACAACCCTCGTCACTGTTTACCGAATAACCACTGATTACCGTTAAACTGAAACTGATTATGACTGATAAGTGAACTGAATAAACTACTGAACTGACCGACTGAAATCTGAAACTGATTGATTGACTATACCTATTTAAATGCACTTTCTATCTGTTGATTGTTAATTGACCTGTTCGTGTCTTTGTGTTTAAACTGCTAATTGAAGGCCTTATCGGCGGCCGAACCGAAAACCGATTAGTGTTTTATGACCATCGTAATTTATGTGATTTTATGGTATAATTATCTGAAAACTGGTTAGGTATGATTAAATTAGATTAAAATGAGTTAAATAGCACAGAGTTGGACTTATTTACCATTAGTGCCACTTAGTGGCCACTACCCAACACATATTGAGCCTTGTACACTCTTAGACAAACATTTTCTTCAGCCATTTTGAGAGTTCTAGCCAACCAAGAGAGAGTAAGGGAGAGAATTGCATTGTCCTTGTTGATTTGTTTAGAAACTTGAAGGGATTGAAGGTTGATTTCAAAAATTGTGCTTCCATTCTTGAACAACAAGACCTAAGGTAGTGTAACTACCCTCTTGTTTGTGAATTCAATTGATTCTTGCATGGTTTTAGAGCAAGTTAAAGTCTAGAGCCAAGCTATGGCTCTTAAGTGTTGAATTATAGCTTAATTCATGCATGCATGCCTATATTATTGAATTTTGAGTTGATTCCATGGAAAATTGTCACATGCATGCTCATATTTATGTTAAGTCCATGAATTCATCTTGTCTTTGAAGATATTAGCTCAATAGAGCATGTATTTGAGGCTTGTAAGTTGTTTAAATTCATGCATGTTTGCATGTTCTTCATATTCATGGAAATTTGTTTGAATTGGATTTATTTGAAACACCCTTGGGCTTTGATTTTACAAATTGAGTTTTGAATCATGTTAAAGTATGAGTTTTGATGTGTTTTCGGGAAAATTGGCCCAAGAGGATCGAA